AAAAAAAAAAAAAAAAAACGGAACCCCCCCCCTACCTGGGGTTTCCCACTTTGGTGAATGACAAGTCCCTGAGCCCTTATCGCGTCATGACATGTGTGAAGCTGCTCGTGTGCACGTAAATCGACGTGGAAATTCAATCGGCCACGCGGCAGATCGAAGTGAGTTAAACGTTTAAAATTACGTATTATCACAAAGGGGGAAAATAACACAAGGCATACACCCATGAAGTGTGCTAAAATGTATAAGACTTAGACGCTTTTTCTTTATTCTTTTTTTTTTAAATGCAAACAATTTTATGAGGTCACAAAAGAAGGGGGTAATGTTTTAGCGGCAAAGAGTCACGTAAAAAAAAAAAAAAAAAAAGTTGGGACAAAAAAAAAAGAAAAAATATAAGCATAACACATACGGCACGATCAAATAACTAAACAAATAACGGATGCAATGTTGGAGGAGAGGCATCAAAAGGGAAGATATAACCCATACAGTTTAACACAAAAAAGAAAATAAAAATTTCAGTTGGTCAAACTTAACAAAAAAAATAACGACAGAGTGTGGCGTAAAAACGCGTGAGGCACATTCTGTCTGGAAATTTATTAACCGGCTCACGGCGTGAAGAAAATTTGCCAAAAATCAAACACTTTTAAGCGTAAGATATTTTGTTGCAACGTAACGGACGCTTTGAACAAGCATTATTTAGCAGGGTGTTAAAAGGCTTCGCAATTTTTTATGACTACTTGGTTGGTCCTTATTTTGCTCACCGTTCGGCTGGCAAATCGTTTTTATGCTTTTTGTAGTGCTGTCACTTTGCTGTGCTAACATGTTGCTTTTTTTTTTTTTTTTTTTTTTTTTTTTTGCACATGGCTGACTGTACAGTAAATTGATAAGCTGTAACAAGGGGCTGCAAGGTCTGGGTGAGAATCGAAACAACGCGATCTCGTTATGCACATTTGGCAAAGTATCAACCTGCAGGTCCAGATGTATAACTAGTTTAAAATTTAATATTTTGAACAACTCGCGGGTGTATGGAAAGGGAAACATCGACTAATCAGCGGATAACCCCATTGTGTGGGTGTGTGGCGCATCGCTCTTATGGGTCACACGTTTATGTTACATGTTTGTAATACATTTGTATTTTTTTTTTTTTTTTTTTTTTTCCCTTTGTATTTACACGAATAAGGCCATTTACATGGACGTGACCCCTGCGTGCGGTGCACATGTCATGGAAACACACTTGGCGATTTTGGCAAACATCTCATACGCAATGTTTTTAAACTCACGAAATGTGAGGATACGGGGCAACGGGAAGGAAGATTTTTATAAGAGCTCCTCGGAAGAAAAGTTGTGCGTGCTATTTTTTTTTGTGCTTCTTACCCAATTTTGTATAGAAGCAATTAGCACATAAGGCATTTTGCTCTACATACACCTTATGCCTTTAGCGAATGTGTGCAATCTTTTTTTTTTTTTTTTTAATTCCTTGTTGTTAATTTGACTTGTTCAGTAATCAGGCTACTCAACAACAATGTGTACGAACGTGTAGGCATCTTCGTTTTTGTAACGGTTCGACCGTCTCCACAGATAGCTTCCTCCATCTAGGGTTACTTAAAAAGTTAACACAACATGGATCAACGCAAGGAAAGAAGTAACAATAAGGGGTAATGTATGCTTCACCTGTGATTGGTATCTACGTTGAAGCCTATTGTGGGCATGACACAATGGGGGCATCCCCAAGGGACTTATATCATCGTATGCATTCTCCCGCTCACAGAGCATGGCGAGAAATATGTGTACCTAACTCCGCGTCGCCTAAACGGATCCCCATTATAACGCATATAAAAATGTACGTAATATAACGAATGGTAAAAAAAAAAAAAAAAAAAAAAAAAAAAAATACAATACAATACAATACAATACAATACAAATACAAATACAAATACAAATACAAATACAAATACAAATACAAATACAATACAATGCAATACAATGCAATACAATACAATAAAAATGGTAAAAGAAAAACTTCTCTAATGAGATGAACAAAACCTTCCTACACCCCCCTACCTTGCCCTGGCAAAAAACCCATTTAAGTAAAATGTGAATTCATATTAGGGTTTTTTTTTTTTGCATCCCTGTGAAAAATGAAATCTTCATTTTGTTCTGTGTGATATGATTTCTCCCTCATAATTGTTAAATAATATATAAAAAAAAATAATAATAATACAAAATGAAATTAGAGGAAGAAAAGGATGAAAAGAAAAAAGATCAAACGGAAAAAAAAAACATTTCGCAGAGGATGAAGAAATTGTGTTCTATCCTGAACAGTCCTATTGTCGACATAAGTAGGTGAAAGAGCAACATGGCCAGATGTGCATACTTGTGTGGGTCACATTGAGAGGGGGTGCGGTGGGATGCCCTCTCACGTCTGTGTGCTAATTAGTTCTGCATAGGTAGTTCTGTGGCATCCCTCAGGAGAAGTGCACCTGTGCGGATGCTTGTACGTTTTATCTACATCGAATGGAAATGTAGCTTGTGCGATTTTTTCTTCCTCTGCTTTGTATTCCTGTGTCTGTAGAGGATAGTGTCATTTGGGGGGAACAGGGCATGTTATCCCCACGCTCATTGTCAGCTGTGTGTGTTCATTGCTGCTTAACTTAATTGGGGCACTCTTTTGAGATTGATCTGAATGCATCCGACAGAGAGTTACAGCCATTGAGTGGGCATACGAGAGACCCAACCCATTCGTCCACATGCTCTCTTGTGCCCGTTATTTTTGCGCCTTGCTCCACAGATGAACTGAAGAACATCCTATGGGGGGGAATATCCGATGAGATGGCCTTTGACGTGCGGGAGAAATGCTGGAAGCTAGCCCTTGGGTACCTTCCGCTAAATCGTGAAGATACGGATAAAGTATTAAAAAAAAAAAGAGATGAATATGAGAATTTGAAAAAGGAATATTACTACAATAAGAGTAAATTGTCGGAGGAAGAATTGAAGATTTTACGTCAAATTAAAGTGGACATACCAAGAACTAAATCCTGTTATAACATTTTTAATCATAAAAAAATTCAGCAGCTGAGCGAACAGGTATTGTTCATATACTCTGTTCGACATCCAGCCTCCGGATACGTACAAGGAATTAACGATTTGGTAACTCCATTTTTAATCGTTTTTCTAAGACCCATAGTTTTAAAGAAGGAAATAAATTCTGATGATGTAGACAGGATAGCTGATGATGAATTGAGGAATGTTGAATCGGATTTATATTTTTGTCTTTCAAAACTGTTGGAACAGATTCAAGATAATTATACTTTTGGGCAACCGGGCATTCAAAGAGCAATTATAAAAGTTAAAGAAATAGTAAAACGAATTGATAATTCTTTATTTAATCATATATACGAAAATAATATTGATTTTATTCAGTTTTCCTTCAGATGGGTGAACTGTCTTTTGTTAAGGGAATTTCCCATTGATATATCCATTCGATTATTGGACACGTATATTAGTGACATATGTGACATTTTCACCGACTTCCATCCTTACATTTGCGCCGTTTTTTTAGTTCACTGGTCTAAGTATTTAAAAGAAATGGACTTTCAGCAGATGCTCCTGTTCATGCAGCGCTTTCCTACGCACAACTGGAAGATTCAGGACATTGAGTCCATTTTGTCCGAGGCCTTCGTTTTGAAAAACGCCTTCCAATCCTCCCCCAAGCATTTCTCTTAGTCGGCAGGGGGGGATGAATCTACGAAGTGATAAACTGCGAAGTCATAAACTACGAAGTGATTGTCTGCTGCTTACCTGCGAAACCCTTCCCTGTCATATCACATTGCAGCCATGTGGGCTTGTCAGCCTTTCCGACATTCGTTCGGGCGCGAGCATGTGTCTCCAGCGCCTGTATATTATATACACGCGTACAACTCAAGATATATGGCGAATACATTTTTCAACCCGCAGAATGGGGGAAGCACAAATCATTATCGTTTCGTGCGCGTCTCCCATTTTAAATTAAACTGAATTAACATGTATGTTTTTTTTTTTTTTTTTTTTTGACTGTACAAATTTTTAATAAAGCGTACAAAAAAGCGCCTTCGTCAATTAGCATGATACCGCTAGCTGGTGGACGGGAATAAAAACGACTCGTCCCCATTTTAAAAGGCGAAGAATGAGGAGAGCTTTTGGTACAAGCCTGCCAAACATGCAGATATAAAATGGATAATTTGGTACATGCACGACAGGGGGATCAAACGCTTCCTCCCCTGGGATGTGTCCGCCTTTTTTATTCGTCTTTTTTAATAATTAATTTGTTTGCCAAAAATATGAGGATATAAATGTGCGGCAGCGCATGGGGAGGGAAACACATTCAGATGCCCACCTGTCCTTCTTTTCTGCACTTTGTCTGCGTCGGATAATACAGATCGTGCGTGCACTCGCGTATGCGCATGTGTACTTGTTGCTATGCGTATCTGGTGGCATGCATATCGGCTAGCCGATCCGTGTACGTTCACTTGCCACCCATTTCGCTACTCCCTCTTGTGCATACTTGGCGACGCAGCAAACACGCATTTTGCCGCTCGGAGGTTTCGTGCCAAGGGGCATTTTTTTTCGATCTTCAATTTTGAATTTTCCTCACTTTTATATTTTTCTTCCTGAATTTTGTAGTGTCCACAAATTTTTTTTTTTTTTTTTTTTTTTTTTTTTCCTTCTCGATAACTTTTTCGGTACACTCTTAACATTGCAGAATTTTTTGGTTGCGCATGCTTGGCCACACATGTTGAGCGAGTGGCGCAATCGGCACGAAATTTGAGGCGTAAGGAGGAAAAAAAAAAAAAAACAGAAAAAAGACGAAGAAGACGCGCAATGCGCAGAAGAATAAACGCGAAAAAATACATGGTGCCCCATATGTCAGACGTAAACAAAAGTTCAACTACGCAGGGACAACCTGCTTAAACTGGTTCCCTCGTGCTTAGCAACATTTCCGCATTTGTAACATTTAAAAAAAAAAACAAAACAAAACAAAAGGGAAGGTGGTTGGTATAAGAGTCATTTCCGTGTTAATTTTTGGCCAGTTGTCACAAACATCTGTAGAAATAAAAGCGTTAGCGTTTGTTCGTGGTTAGTATAATTACGAATATGTAGTTATATGCGAGGCATTTCTACTTGCGCACATATATTCATAGCTGCACACACAAAGATAAGTACAGAACGGTAATTCGTTTCCTGTTTTTATTTATCTTCCAAGACAGCTATTATTTGACCCCCTCTTTCGGCTATTACACCAACTTGTCTTCCCGTTCCCCCTCAACCGCATCCCAATTTGTCCAATTCGAAAAGAATAAAAAAAATGAGTTTTAGGAAAAAGCTAGACCAAAGGAGAAACTGCAATGAAACCGTTTACGAGTAAGTGTGGACAGGAGGAAACGCTATGCACATGTGTAGGCATACATGTTTTTGCTTCCTCGCCCGGTGTGCCACAGATCTCCCTGCACGTGACATGAACCCACTTGGCTTCAAACCAAAGTGACCATCGTTACCAGGAGTACAACGCATATCTGTTTATTTATTATTCCTACTAACCCCCTCCCCTCCTCTGCTTGTGGTTTAGGGCCTACGGAAAAATTGATCCACATTTGAACCCGAATGAAAAGATAATACAGGCGAAAAATGGTACGTCGGAAGGTGCTCAGTCAGGGCTGGCATGGGAAGTAACATATCCTCATTGGGGAATTACAATAGGTCGTGTGCTCATCACACTGCTCATTCCTTCCACCCCCCTCTCTCCCTGTAGACGTGGACGAAAATTCGGCGAAGAAACTCCCCTTCTTTATGAACAAGGCTATGAAAAATGAGGTAAAAGATGGGAGTCGATCCCCACGTGGGTTTGAAAAACGTACATATGTGCATGAAGAGATGCATTCACGTGGAGAGAGTCATTAAATGTGTCTTCTTCTGAACTGGTTGCAGCAGTGGGTTTGCCCCATGACGCGGCAACGTGCGTGTGTATACGCGAATCGACTGACGCACTGACCCCCCTCCCATGCGCACTGCAGAAGAAGTACCACTTCCTTATGAACGTCAACGAGAGAGACGAAGACGTTGAATTCGTGGCGAAGGCGATGAGCACTTATTTAAATGTAGGCGAGGCGATTAGAGTTCGAATGGCACTCTTGTACTGCACGGAGCAGTACACCCTGTTTCGAAATTATTTGATAGCCCTGAGGGAAATGCTAAAGGGAGTTTTAGCCATAAAAGTTACGAGGAAGGGAAAAATAAAAAAAAATATATTAAGATTTAATCGTGGACATATATGCATCATGGCCAGTTGGTCAAGGAAAATACTAATGTATGATCAGATAACCCAAATTAATATTGGCAGTAGCTGTACCCCCGAATTGAGATTATTTGAGAAAAATTATAAAGACACTTCCAACAGGCCCAATTATGTTGTTCTGAGGACTCTGTACAGGGACTACAGTTTTTTGTTTATAACGGATGAAAAAATTTTATTGAAACTTAAGAATGAGTGTCCATTAGTAAAATTAAAAAATCTTTTAAAAAATTCAAATGTTCATGTGCAAAATGATAATTTGGAGTTAAATAATTCCCTTATGAAGAAAGTGAATGATAATACCATTTCTACAACAGAGGAAAACTATGAAGACATGAGGAAGAAACAGCAGGAGGAAAATTGCGACGGGGCACGAGGTACAAGTAGTAATCACGTGTTATCTAAGGACAAATTGCAGGACTTGAATAATGTGAGCCAAGGATTTAAGTACTTTTTTTTGACTGTTCTTCGGAGCATCAAATCGAGGAGTGTTGATATGTACAATGAAGAAATCAAAGAGATAATTAAAAAAAATAATATGATTTTTTTTGATAAGTACGATTTTAAAAATGAGAAAATTAATTGTTTTTTCCTTTTCTGTCAAATACGGTTTGATATTTGTGGGCCGGAAATCTGGTTTACGTCCAAATTTGACGAGATACTTTTCACGCACATGAATTAAGCATTCCCCGTTGCTCCAGCGGCGTCGTCGCGCTGTCGCGTTGTCCACGTGGCATTGTCGTGGTCGCGTTGTCGAGTTTTTTTTTTTTTTTTTAATTTGTTTTCGTTTGGGTATGTGTATGCGTGTGCATAAAATGTTGGCATTTTTGTGTGACACATTTCTCGCGGGGGGACAAACGTGCATAAAAAAAAAAAAAAAAAAATTAAAAAAAAAAAAAACACCAAGTGGAAAATAAAAAGGTGTGCCGCTTTTTTGAGCAACACCCATGGGATACTTCTGCCTGTGCGCGCAAGCGGGACGTCTACTCCTGCAGCGCCTTTTCCAAGCGCTGCTTCTTCATTTCCGCGGGAACGCTCCAGTAAATAATGCCTGCACAGTTTGGGGAATTCATCGTTGCATTCGTTTTGTTACTTTTTTTTTGCTTTTGCCGTGGACGCTGAGTTGCGAGGTGCGTATGGCAAGGGTGACCTTGTCCGTTTTGTACTCCCATTTGCGTTGTCTTTTTTTCTTTTTTTTGTTTTTTTTTTTTGTGCTCCAGGATTTAGGGTGTTCCACCGCACGAGTGATTGCCTAACTCGCTGTGTCTTACTTTCGTCCTTCGAAGCTGATATGATGAAATGATTGTCGACCGTGAACATGCATTTGTTTATGGCGCCGTTGTGTGCATCTCCTGCAGGGGGAGGGGAGGTTATGCGATCATGTTGCTACGCAGTGATGCGGCTGCGAATGGTGCACATTGCCGGGGGAGGGCATACCTATGTACAGACACGTGCACGTTTTGAATTCGTAGAGCCTCAGCTTGCAGTCGTCGGAGCCTGCGTGTGTGGAGGGGTGCGCAGATGGACAAGGGTTTGTTTCGCAGCACATGCCAGCGTAGCGAAACCAGGGCGGCGGACGCACCTGTTATGAAGTACGCCCCAGTGTTGTCCATGTCGACCGTGAGGACGTTGTGGAAAGGGGAATAGTAAAAGTGCTTGCTGATTTCATTTTTTATCAAATCGTAGTACATAAAAATGTTATTATTTCCGCAGCAGAGAAGCATGTCATATTTTTTGTTCAGGCATATTTGCCTATATCTGGTGTTGCTGGTGTCTATTATTTTTTTCACAAGTGTGTTTTCATCTATGTTGTAAATGCTTATGAGTCCATCTTCGCTACAGCTGCAGAGCTGCGGTTTTTTTAAAAAGGTAGGGGGGGATGAGAAAATTATGTGCATACTCTTATCAGTGGACAGGTGGTAACAAAAGGTCACCTTTATCACGATGCATCAATACACATTCACTGATGAAGCGAGACGCATCGCCACTTCGTCACTCCATGACGACGCTGTTTTTCAGTTACGTATTTGTCCCCGTAGAGGATGATCCGGTTGATGGCCATGCAGTGGTAAGTCAAAGTATTAACATTGACATATTTGGCATCTTGAAATTTCCACAATTTAATATCTCCATGATTTCCAGCAGTGATTAAATCATACTGCTTGTGAAAGACCAAAGCATTACAATAATCATAATGTGCATTTAAAATGATTGTCACAATTTTCATATACTTTGATGTTAATAAATAAATATTGTTGTGGACAGAAAGAGCAACGTACTTTCCATCGTTGGTAATTTGTATGCTATGGCATATCAAATTTTTATTTATTTTTTCGAATGTTTCCACATGGCTGTTTTTTTTTTTTTCCAAAGTGTGTGCAATATTTTGTTCATGTAATTTGTTCATTTTGCATAGCTTCTCTTTTTTATCTGTTGGTATGTTCAAAAATTTTTTATCGTAGTAGATGAATTTTCCCTTTTCTATATTTTTTAAAAAAATAATTTTTTTTTCGTAAAAATGCCAAGCCATTATGTTGTTGTGGCTACAGGTATACATGATGTAATTGTAATTCAAGGGGAAACATAAGTCTCGAATGTAATTATTGTGGAGTAACATTAGGACCTTGTGTGTATTGTTAATGACGTCCATCACATATATGACATTTTCGTGGACACTGATATATAGGGTGGAGGAATTTCTCATTTCTATGGAGTTGATGGATCCATACAATTTTGTTTTTCTCACGATCTTTTTTTCTTCCACGTCTATTAGGCTCACATATCCGTCTCCGCTTCCTGCATAGGGGGGACACCATTGTACAAATGGATTGAATAGGGTGTTTTTGCTGGGAGAAGCGGTGTGGTACAATATGTATAGCGGTCACTTGCTCATTCCTTTATTACGCGTTGGTGCCTCCCTTTTCCAGCTGTTTGCAACACTTGGCCACCACTTGATACCCCTTTTGTTGGAGCGCTCCCTTCCTCACCTGTCAAAATCGTGTTATCGCTCAGAATCTTCACCACGTTTATCCCGTTGCTGAAAAGGTAGTTCTCTGGGATGATGTTCTCGAGGACCTTCGACTTGATGTTCACGACGAGAACATCGCCTGTGGTCGTCCCGAGGTAGGCATACTCATCATTTTTCTTCAGCTCGAGGCAGACAAACTGTCTCTTGTAAATGGAGGTATTCACCTCCTCTTCGCTCATTAACTTCTTCGTGAAGTCGTAGTAGCATATTTTGATGCTGTTAAGCTTGGCTGCGTATAAAAAAAGGGGGGAGGAGGAAATATGATAGGGGGGGTTTCCCCTCAGTTTGGTTTCCTTAATGGAGGAAAGCCTCCACCTATTTTCTAACATGCAGGGAAGCTATCATAGGGAAGCGCATGACATATAAGCCTCAGGCTCACGCGCACACATCAAAAGCGATGGTCGCATTCTAACCTATTATAAAATTGTTTGAGTTGTGGAAAAAGGAAACATTCGAGTAGGGATAATCCGAAGAGGACTTGTAAATAAATTTCTGGTTTTCAATTTGTGTCAAAATCAACGTTTTGTCATCCTCCCCACCAGACGAAAGTAAATACTTGCCATCCTTGCTGATCGAAATATCCAGGGTCCTAAATTTGTGAAGAGACAAAATAATCGGATCCCCCTCATGGTCAAAATTGTATATATATATGTCAGACACTAATTTACTTTCCTTACAGCAGCAAATATACTTTTGAGCAGCATCTACATATAACTTGGTGATTTTATTTTTGTCACTTTTAAAAATGACTCTATGATTATTCACCACGTCCTCTTTTATGATGTTGGTTCCTATGGCATAGATCATGTAAAAGTGGTAACGGAGTTCCTCCTTTTTTAATTCATAATAATTGTGATTGATGTCTATGCTTTTTAAATTATAAACACTTTTTAATTTTTTTTTTTTTTCATTTTCCGCAATTTCTTCTTTCTCTATTTGTTTTAACTTTTCATGGTATGTTTTTTTGTCAATTTTTTTTTCATGTCTTATGAGTATGAGGTTGTTCGAGATGGCTCCGTTGAACCCGATGTAGGATTCCGCGACGAGTTTCTTCTCCATCGCGGGTGGCCTTTTTGGTTTGCAAATGGGTAAGTCCGCAAGTACCTCACTTTGCAACTGCTTCACTTTGGAGCCGCTTTGCCTCGCAGCCGCTTCACCTTGCAACCACTTCACCTTGGAACCGAGTGAAGGAGGGGCACTTCAAGCGGCGTAGCTAAAAGTCTTACGCGCGAGCATTTGAGACATTTACAAACTCCCAGGCCGCATCTCGGTTGGAGTGCCTCACGTGCCTGCTTCAAATGAAAAAAAAGAAAAAAATGTTCCTAACTTCTCATCGCGCATATGTTTATATGTGTAATGTCTCACAAAATTGTCCCTTTTCAAAATGTGCACTTATTGATGTGTATCCCTCAGGTGAGCATAAAGGGGAAAACAGTGTAGATGCTATTTTGGAGAGTGACGGGGTGGAATGCTCGCGTAAAAAAGTGAATGCTTCTCGGGCGAGTGCGCAATATGGTCAGTCTTCTTCGCATCGAAATGGCGCACATGCTGTGGGGACGAGATCCATGCGTTTTTATTTTCTCCGCTTCGTTTTATAACATCTGACATATCACCAATGACGTGTGAATTCCCTCTCCGGCGCTGTCCACTTTGTGTGCACCCGAGGTGTAGAAGCAGGGATGGCTAGAAGGGCTTTTTGCACACTAGGAAAAAGGGAAAAAAAAAAAAAAAAAAAAAGTATGAATCTCTTAACGGAGTCAACAAAAGGAGCATACGAGCCTATTATGTGAAAAAAAAAACAAAAAAAAAAAAAAAAAGGCAGAATCGAGAGGCAATTACACGGCAGGTGAGGGAAAAGTAGAAGAATAGCAAATGAAATAACGGACAAAATTGAGAGGGAAATGTTAATTTATCTTTATTACCAAGTAGACGCGCTGAGAAATAACGAGACGGCCTCGGCACATCTGGAGGGTGAGGAAAGCGCGTACAAAAAAAAAAAAAAAAAAAAGGACATAACTTCAAAGAGGTTAACAACCTAGTGGAGGTTCTTCTTTGCCTTTGTTTACCTCCCCTTTTTTGTTTTTTTTTTTGTTTTTTAGCGAAATCTGTTCACACCGCTTAAGCTACCGCACAAAAAAAAATGAACAACGAAATCACGAAAAGCTTGTTTCCATATGAGGCGAAATTTTTTAAGGGCATTTTTGACAAGTATATAAAAAATGAAGACTACAACGAGGATCTGAAGGTGGTTAGGAGCTCCAAGAATTTAATGGAGGAAGTTATTAGCAAAGAAAATGGATTAAACTTTTATTTGGATGAAAACAGTGATGACACATTTTTGCAAAAATGCAAGTTGTTGTTTTTTCGAAAAATGTTAAAGTATGTCTATGGCAGGAAAGAGAAAAATGTGCATAAGGGGGAGAGTTTTTCTGATGTGGGAGGGACGGGGAAAAGCGTAGACACGGTTGGTGAGCAGAATGGACAACATGTTAGAGAAGGGATCGGAAGCGTAAAGGAGGTGCCACAATATTTCGTGTTTAACAAAAAAATTAATGTAATAAACAGTTATCGAATTTATAGCTACTGCTCCAACATCATTCAATCCCTTCCGTCGCTCACGTACTTTTCTGTTGTTAAGATATACATGGCGAACTATCCTTTGAGTGTCTTTTTGTCTTGTGTTTACTTTTACACGTTTGTGACGTACGTGTGTGATGGGGAAAACCTGATAGGTGAGCCTCTGCGCGGTGCGCGCCGCTGCTGGCCGGCGTTGTTATTTCGCATTGCTACTTGGCTTTTTTGTGTTGTCTCACTCTCCATGACTGACTTCATCGCCCACTTCTCAACCCCCCCCCTTGGCAGAGTTCCTGGAGTCGCTGTTCTTCTCCCTCATAGTGACGATCGGCTGTGTGGCGCTGACGGCGGTGCACTACGCGAAGGAAAACAGAATCAACTGGATTATGTCGAGGATGAACAACTTTAAGGAAAATTACATATGTCGTAATTTTATAAAGAAGGAAGCCAAGGGGAAAGCCATGTTTTCCAAATATGAAAGCAGAAAAACGATCGAAATTAAAAAGTATTCCAAATATTTTTTCTTAAGGAGTTTTCTGAATAGAATAAATGAAGAGCTGTATGACTACGAGGTGTTCAAGGGGGACAAGCATTTCAATTATGTGCAAGAGAATTTTAAGGAAATTACCCCCTTGGGATATTCCCCTGATAATGCTGGGGGAGGTGCGAAGCAGGGTGGTGAGTTAGCAGCAAGTGGGCAAAGTTGGGGGGCCAAAAGTGCAAACATAGCGTCAGTTAACGTGGAGGGTGTATTCGCAGAGCGGGGGAGACAGACGGGGTCGAAATTGATATCAAGTGAAGAGCAACAGGATGGAATGGGTGATATGCAGGATGAGGAGGTAATATGTAGCGTAGCTGCCAAGAAGACGGTTGTCTTAAGTACAGAGTCAGATGGAGAGAAGAACCCCTGTAGTGGAAACGACATTCAAAATGTAGGCAACAATGAAGAAGGCACAAAAAACTCCACCGATATGGCACAAGACAGAAAAAAAAACCTATTAAACTACATAATGTTCGAGAATAATATATACACAATTAACAGTAAGAGCATTTTAGTAGGAGATATTGTTTACCTTTTCAAGGGAGACGTGATCCCGGCAGATGGGATACTCATAAAAAGTAACAACATGGTAGTAGATGAGTCTAACATTTTAAAATCAGAAAAGACATGGAAGAAAAAAATTAGCCTGGATGAATATATGTACTACTATGAGAAATCAAAAAAGAGAAAGATTAGCGTTAACGAGTTAAGGAAGAAGAAATTAAATTATTTCGATATACTTAATTTGAAGGTCAAAATGGCATTGAAAAGGCTAAGTAGGGAAGAAGAGAGAGATACGAATGTACAAATCACAAAGGGAGAACATAATACTGATGAGACTCCAAAAGGTGGAGGAAGGAATGTGGAGAAATTAAGTCAAAGTGTAAATGAAAAAGGGGGAGAAAATAAAAGTAGTAAAAATAGTAGAGTAATTAAAAATTTTGAGAAATTATTTGAATATTCTCCTCTTGTCTTGTCTGAATCAACAGTGCGGGAAGGAACAGGCATCATGCTAACCACCTGTGTTAGTAAAAATAAGCAAATGTTCAAAAATACCATTAAAGACATGGACGAAAGTACTGAACTGGAAGACATCATAAATAGCTTTTCGAAAAATGTTGTTATTATAATAATTTTTTATTGTATCCTTTGCATCCTCTTCGTATTTATTCACTTCTTAATTAAATTGGTCGAGAATAATATGCAGACTTCTGCCTACAATATGTTGATGTTTTTGCTTAACTGTATCATTTTGGAAATCCTCAAGTACCTTTTACTGTCTATTGACCAAATGCCTTTGCTTCTGCAAAATTGCATAGCGCTAAATTGGAGGGAAATAATGCGGGAAAATTTTATCCTAAAGAGAAAACATACTTTCGAGAAAATTCTTTTCACTAACATCATTTATGTAGACTTGGAAAGGTACACAAAGTACAGGTGTGTGTTCTTCTTTTGCAACCCTGATATGTGCTTTTGCACCGACTGGGATGAAAAGGAAGATCTGCAAGTGGAGGTGAAATTGATTAATTTGGATAAGGACCAGGGGAAGAAAGCAGAAATATCAAGGAGCCTCTTTTTCAAAATGCTCGTCCAGGGCATTCTGACGACAAGCAACTTGTACCATTACAATGAGAACTTTCTGTACATAGATTTGTCCCTCTTAAAATTGTTAAAGGGATTCGAAATAAACCTCGAAGATTATTTCATCCCCAAGAAGCGCTTATTTCGTGTTATATCTGGTGGCCAGGATTTTGTCATTGCGTTTGTCTTGTCGGAGGAAGGGTTTTTGGGCGACAAGGGGGTCGATGCGCAGGGCGAGGAGTCCCTGAGCGTGCTGCGCATATTCGTGAGGGGTCGCGCGAGTCTGGTCTTGCCGAAGTGCAGCCAGTACCTGGACGGCGACGCGTTGCGCAGGTTAGTTGGCATTGGCGTGATTCGGGGCAGCTGCCCACTTCACCACTTTTACACTTGTACATTTGTGCACGTTACCCACTTCGCTCCACCCCCCCACCCCACAGCGACATCGCCCAGGTGAAGGAAAAAGTCCAACAGGTGCAGCAACAAAAGTACGAAGAAGTCATATGTTTCGCATACAAAGAAATAGAGCTAAGCGCAAAGGAGAGTGAGGAGCTCTTCCATTACGAAGACGACAACGATTACACATTTGACAACAAAGAAATGAATAAGAATCTGGACGAAACTTATCTCAAGTATGTAGAACAGAATGACTACACGTGTGTCTCAATCATGGTTTTCGAAAAAATGCTGAACAAGCATTTTTATTTTGATTACAAAATGTTGGAGGCAAACGGCATGAGCGTGAAGTTGTTCACCAAGGACAGCATGTCTAAGGTGAAGAAGCTATTTTGTGACTTGCCCCATTTCTTTGAACATTTCAAGCTGTATAATGCAAAGTTGGTGGGTGAAGAGGAAGCGATAGATTTGCATTACCAAAATGATGATGACAGATTTGGTAGCCATCCGCAGGAGGCAGATAAGATGAAGGGGCAGAGCAATTTGAAAAACATGGAAGAAAAAAATTGCGATGGAAATTACTACAATGAGACAAGTCTGGGAAATTACACCCTGAAGAAGGGAAATAATACATCTTGGATGCCGAACAAATGCAGAAGTGAAGTTTTAAATTTGAAAGAATGTGATGATAAGGTGATGATAAACATGACTAGCCAAAATGAAGCACTAAAAAAAAAACACGATTTTCTCTTAAGTAACAATATTTTTTACAAGTGCCAGAATACAGATTTATCACGTCTGTTAAGGATTTCGAATTACTATGGGAAGAATGTACTTGTGACAAATGAAAGCAGTGTAGAGTGTGAGGAGGGATCGTGCAGCCTACGCATATGCGATGATAGGGGTAGAGGAGAATGTAAAGAGAAAAGCGACATTGTTATTTTGAACAAAAGTTTGTACGATTTTATAAAATTGAAAAATTTCTCAAACTGTATTCTTACCAATATAAAACTATACATCGAGTACAACATTACCTTTTATGTCTGCCTGATCATATTCTCCACCGTTTGCACCTTGGTAAATGGGTTTGAATTTTTAAATACCATACAAATACTATATATATATTTTGTGAAGAATGTAATTTTTCATTACCTATCATGCTATCGCAAAAGTTCCATAAGTACCGTCGGGAAGAAGAAAAAACAGACTTATGACTTTTTTAAGGAAAATGATATAAACAGTATAATGTCTTCAATTTTGTCCAAGACGGTGATTCTGTTTTTGGTGTTTTTCTTTGGTCATTTATTCATTCCTGAGTCTACATGGGATTTTGTGAGCGCAGATGTGAGGAACTTGTTTGAATTTTCAGAATTTTCATACCTTACAGATAGACAGCAGTCGAGCTACTTTTACACCATACGGTCTTGTATTCGTTTTAAAAAAAATTTAGAAAATTTGAAAATTGAAAATGTTATTGATGTTAAGAATGATTACAGATCGATGGCTGAATGGGACAGCTATATCAGTCCAGGTAGACATGGCACTATTCTGTTTAACATTTTTTTTCTCTTTTTCTTTTTTTCCTATATTCATATTTATTTAAAGTCGTTTTTGAGGGACATACACATATATTGGGAAATGTACAAAGGGGCACAAAATGACAAATGTAACAAGTATATTATCCCTTCAGTGGGTAGCACGCGGCAGGGTAAGAAGGACCTCTCTGCAGATATTCGCTGTTTTATGCAGGAGCTGAAGAAGGAAAGTCGATCTAGTATCTTGGTTAAGACTGAAAATGTGAACAATTGGGGAAAGGGACCAAACAATCAATTTGAAAATGGCGACATGGGCAAGAATGGAAGTCGTACGATACCAACCACGGAGGAAGTGAAGAAGGGAGGGAAGCAGTTTTCCTTATTGAAAATAGCTAGTGAAATAATTTCTAAATCAAGCTTACCTAATAACAATTTTAATATCATGTTAATGAACCTTGTTTGGGAAAATTACATGACATTCATAATTTTTTTTGTTCTGCTAGGGATACACATTTTTGTCGTTGAGTTCGGTTCATTCTTCTTTAACTTACATGTGACTGGGTTGACTCTATTGCAATGGGTATTCTGTTTCGCCTGTTGTCTTTTAGACCTGGTTCTTTATTTTGTTACTTTGCGTCTTGGCCTGTTTCTCCTCCCCGCCAGTTCTTTTAAAACTTTCCAGAATTTGTATGAGCCGCGCGAAAGGAGCGTGTAAGTGGGATAGCCTTCCGCCTATCATGCCAGAAAAGAGGGGGGCTAAAAAATGTTACTATATATTTGTTAGGCCGTAGCATTTTGACGCACATGTGACTGTACCAACCACATGATCACGCAACTACAACCACTAATATACCCCCCTTTTTTCGGGTAATAAGGGAATGTGATTTTTTCCACAATCAGCGCTTCTTTACATTTTTTTTTTTTTTTTTTTTCAGATTTGACACCCTGAATGATTACAAGCGGAGTTACATGTCCAAGCGGTATAAGTACGACCTGAAGGTGTAAGTAATTATTGCGCTGGAAAGTTTTCACTTTTCGGTCCTTGTCGTTATGTCTTTCTTTTTTTTTTTCATCGCTTCGCCTTTTTTATTCCCCCGTAGGACACGCAAAAGTTGGGTGTGACAGGCTGAACCACCACAAAAAAAGAACAGTCGTTTATTAGCCTGCACGAACAATTTTGTGTTCCCTTTTTTTTCTTTTTCTTTTTTCCAAGTCGAAACGACCAATTGGTTTGTCTCTGGGGAAAAAAAAACTATTGTATGCTTGTTTTTTTATCACTGTGTCGCGCGCGTGTTTTATATATGAACATATTTTTTGTCTTACATTTCGTTACGCTACGCATTTCGCTGCGCACTTTGCTGAAAATGACTGACACGACGTGCACACAACAAACGTGGCAACGAAGGTGAAAATAAAAAAAAAACAAATGACAACATGAAAGGTCAGTGTAACAAAGGTTTACCAAATGGGATGCGAAAAAAAGTCGGTCTATCCACGTCGTGCCACTTCCTCTTTCTTTTTTTTGAGCAACACGATATGCGGAAAGGAGAAGATGTAAAAAAAGCGCGAAATATACTTACAAATGTTACAACACAAAAAAAAAATGGGCACCCAAATGTTAGGTGTCCCCTGACCACACACCTTTTTTTATTACCATTACCTCATGGAATTGACTGGCTTGTTCTTTCGAACGGAGTTGATAAATTTTTTAATTTCTATATTATACAGATTTACGTAGCTGTTGTAATTCTTGTATGATTTTCTTCCCAGGCAATTCAGGGACACATTATTTTTATTTTTCTGTGCCGCCTGTTTCTTCAAAAAGGCATTTCCCTCCTCTTCGTACTCCTTCAGTATCCACACATGTTCATCATTGGCGTACTTAACTTTTTTCTTTATTCCTTCTTCTTTATCATTTATATTTTTTTTCATAAAACTTAGCGAGGTTACAAATTTTGAGAATTTTACATTTTCCTTCGTTTTGTTTGATGGATCGTATTTTTTGTCTTCCATGATTTGGCAAGTGTGCGTGGTGGAGACTGTGGCTTCTGCACGGTAGGGCTTCCCCTTAGTTCAACCTGATGTGGGGGCGGGCACACTTTACAACACGAGTGCGATTTGTGTTGTGTGCCCGTCCTTATTCAGGGATTGTATATAAGCGGCGCCCACAATTGTGTGGTAGCATATTTCGTTCTTCATTAGCTGCAAGATGAGAGTGTTCGATGCCGAGGTACATGCTATCCTGTGCGCGGATGATTAATTATACTGTTCTAATATTTAACCATTTATTTATTATTTTGTTTTTTTCGCCTGCTGGGTTAGGATGATTAAGCACGTTCGTCTCTCTTCAAATATTACTCCCACATTTTTCATTCCCATCGCTCGATTAATTTGGATAACATTTTTTTTTTTTTTTTTTTAACTTCACCATGCGCAGAGCGTTGTAGCTCAGTGTGGCAGCCTTGACGATTCCAGCATGCAAGGGGAAAAAAAAAAAAAAAAAAAAAAAAAATGGCGCACAGCTTGCTGTCGTGGCAAAGTCCATTCCGCATTTGCCAAGTTTGCCAAAAAAATGTGCCGCATTTTTTTCTTCCCACCGTTTTTATAACAACATAAAAATAACGCCGATAATATTGTCTTTCTACTGGCAAGTTTTACATCACTCAAAAGGTTTGCCAACTTTGTTGAGGTCTCCCTCCCCCCCAAAAAAGGGTAAACAGTTCGATAAAATTACAATTGGGGTTAAAAAAACAAAAAAAACAAGAAAAACGGTCCTTATCTGGCAAAGGGACACACACATGTAAGGGTACTCTCTATGTGCACTCGCACAGGGCAGCGCCCCTCGCTCTGCCTATATGATGTTCTTTTGGAAGGCCTTATTCATGTTGGCTAGGAGAAGTGATCTAGGGTCCAGAATTCCATTGCCTTTGGTCGACTGGTTATGTTTTCGAGTAGGCAAATTTCCACGACGGCTAGGCGGCATGACATTCTGTGCACCCGCAGGGGCATCATCCAGCGCAGCATATTTTAAGACGGTTGTTTTTTTCTTTCTATCCCTGGGGGTGATGGTGTGTGGAGGAAAAACATGCACACAGGGGGTATGGTCATATGCCTGGCGCGCTTATGTAATTATCATTACATATTGGACATGGATGAGGAGCAAATTATGTAGACGCTGATGAGGTGTTCGCGCGAAGGTACCTTTTCTTTGAAAGTTCATTCCTGGGGGAGAGGGGCATCAACGAATCACGCACAGACTTGAAGGAATACTGAAATCGCTCGTTGCTGTAGTCCTAAGAGGGGAATGAGTCCAAACGTTCGAAATTGTGTGTCATAAATATGTTTTTTACGCCGTAATTATATAAGTGAAAAGGAAAAAATCGTAAACAAAAATAATACATAGGGAAGAATACATGTATATCAAGCGGTCATATTTTTGACCTACCAATGGGTTAAATTCATCCACCAAAATTAAAAAGTTAAATATTTCTTTTATCTTTTCGTCTGAGAGGTGCTCATTTTTTTGTTCAACGTGTTCCTTGTAAAACTCTTCGATCGACAGGGAATACGTTTCTTGGGTAGCTAATCCCTTCGTTCGGTTTAGTGTGGTGAGGGGGGATATTTGTTTAAATGAGACAAAGGCATCAGGCACATAGTTGTTGCATGCACAATGAAATAGCTAACGACAGGTCTTACGTGCAAACATAGGGCCATGGACGTTTCCGCCTTTGTCATCGGAGTCCCAACCCATAAGAAGCGAACCTCCTTTTCGCTTCGCGCGAGGGGGGGAGGGTAAAATAAGAAAAAAATAACGGTAAAACTAAATATTAATACTTGTGTAACATGGTAGAACACATGATTAGCCGTTTCACATGGACGGGCTGTACGAACAGGTCGTCTCTCTCCCTTTACTGTGTTTTCAAATCCATAGGGTTTATGTTCGATCTAAGGATAATAACTTGCTCCTGTAGTTTTGCATCACATGGGTAGGGGGGACATGTATACAATTGGGGGACAGGAACACAACCATCTCAGGCAGTATCTTTTCCCATACCGCTGGTCAACTTTTTGTCATTTTTTTTTTTTTTTTTCTTTTTGCAATTGTTTCCATTTCTTACATTTTCGTGGAGCTCCCTTGATAGGCGTTCTAGCGACACTAAATTTTCCCCACCCCCAGGTATGTCGCTTAAAAAAATGGGTATCCCATATATCTGAGGGGAAGTATAAAAGGTGAAGGGGGTAGACATTTTGGTCTTGGCTATGGAGGAGTGTCGTTGATATGGACATATGCAAACAGGTATGCACATCTGTGTAGGATCTTCTGGGTGGTCGCTGCGTTGAGTATATTTTAAACGTCACAATGGCTCATTAACATATTGACCCGTTGACCCAACTAACGCTTTAACGCGCTGAGGCATGTGCCTAGATTTAACCAAGTGCTGTGAGATGCCTTCCCTTAGCGCCTTTGCCCGTATGTCAAACACAACGGGGAATTTGCTCAGCCCCATGAAGGCAGAGTGTCCGACTTCTGCCACCAGAGGTCTTCCCTCACACTTCAGTACGAGCTGCGAAATATGTTGGTGAATTTTAACGGTGGTGAGAATGGCGGTCCACCCATGCTTCTCTCAACAATATGTTTTTTGTTGGGATCCTTCTCTCTCTTCCCCTCCTCCAAATATATATATACATTCTTCTTACCTCGTTTTGTAGGCTGAGGGTGAACGAAACGACAAATGTGATGGATAATATCTCCTTGGACATTTGCAAAATATTTATTTTATTCAATGGAACATTTTTGATGAAGAAGGTTGGGTATTCCCCCAATGCATGCCTCAGCTGAGGTAGTTTGTTCTTCCCCTCTGCCATGATTTTGTGTACTAACATGAGGTGTGTGTATGTGTGTTTGTGAAGGGGGGGGGGGGCAGGATGGGGTGAAAAATATATACATACAAGTGTAGATCGATATGTACACTTGTACATGTTTGTACTCATTGGGGGATGGAGTGGTGAAGGCCACCTTGCTTCCGTTGCCCCCTTATTTTTTCTAGGGACGGTGAAATTCCTCCTTGCGTACACAGCTATATTATAACCATTGAAGAGGTAAAATTTACACTCGCTGGTGCGAAATGCATCTGCGAGAAGTTTCAATTCTGGAATTCTCTCCTCCCATAGGTGAATGTTGCAAGATACAATGGCGACTTTGTCGCACTCCTTAATTGTTGAGATGTCTGACGTGGACAGGGGCCGAATAGCGCGCGAGTGTAGGTACTGGTGTGGGCGGATACGCAAGCCCATTGGTATGTACCATTTTTATAAAGTACACATGGCGAAAATGCAAAAATGCGAACATATATATTCGAGCTCAAATGATGGCTCCACGTGGATGACACCTACTTTCACTGTTCCTCAAAAAGGTTATGAGTGGATCCACTGCCATATCGTTTCCGTGTCTGGAATTGTTTTCACTGAAATCAAAATGAGGAGATATATTGTCCAATGCCCTTTTCACATTTTCATAGTCGAATGGGTCAGAGAAGGTTAGCACGTCGATGTAATCAATCAGGTCTGAAAAATGGGCGAGAAAAAAAAAAAAAAAAAAAAAAACTGAAAAGTTCAATCCTACAAGTTTTTACAAGTTGAATCGCAATGAAAATTCACGCCTTTGCATCGTTTCGCTTCATAATTTTGTTTGAAACGTGTTCGCTTGGCGTTGATCCTCAATCGCCGCTATGGCAACTGCGAGTTTCCCCATACTTATGCAAACGAGCCACAACCGAATACCCCTCTGACTGCTGTTATTGAGCAAATCCTGCAAGGAGTGGGCCCAATATTTGAACAAGTATTTTTTATCCCTCGAGTTGAATGTGCAAAAGCGTGTGTCACATATGTAGAGAAGCTTCATTGGGGAAGCGGCGTCTGTTCAGGGGGTGGTGGTGGTGTCAACAAGGTGAGGCGTTCAGGGTGAAATGTTATTTCAGTTGTTGAGGGGGGGAAGTTTGTTCAGCTCAGCACGCAGTAACGCGGCGAAAAAAAAAAAAAAAATTATCATTGCGGTTGAAGTAAAAAATGTAACTGCTCCGCATACATCAGGGAATGAATGGAGGGCATAAATCAGGCTTCGCATGTAGACCGAAAAGGTTTCTTCTATATTGACGCCAAGGGTTATTAACAGGGGGATGCAAAAAGAAACAGCGTCGCTCAGGACTCAAAAATTAATGTGTACACATGAGTATGTAAAAAAAAAAAAATATATATATACATACGAACTAAGACTTGTGCATATATGTTTTTTTTTTTAATTTTTTCTTGTCGAGAGAACAAGTCTTTAGTTGATTTTCTTGTATATTTCGTCCAAGGCTGATTTAGTCATTTTGTCTTTGAGGTGGTTATACACGGTTTTGCCTGCAAGGTGGGGAACAATTTTTTTACGAATTGAAATGTGCCCAAGGGTACATATATAAAGTACATGCCTACATGTACGCACACACACACACAAGAAAAAAAAAAAAAAAAAAATATAGCTACATGTTGTTTCCCTGTCCGAATTTCCCCATTGGAACAGTCACGTCGGGGTAACGTCCAATTAAATGTAAACGTGGTGATGATATATGGCAATTCACGCAGAATGCGGAAGTTGTGTTTTTCTGTTCTTACTTATAACTGTGAACTTTTCCTTTTGTAAAAATTCGTCAAATTCGCTCAGCGGAATGCGTGTGATAAATTCTACTTCATTCAGCTGGGGGGTGGTCTGGAAGTCTGGGTCGATGAAGACAACCTGTAGGAGAAGGGGCGCAATAATAGGGCGAAAAGAATGTCGCATGAGAGATAGCGATGGAGTGAATATTTGCCGCTTCAGCATGTGGAAATGAGAAGAAGCCGCACCATCGAATGACACGGTTTGCAGAACGTGCAACTTACGTAGGAACCGATAAAGCACCTGGAGCATTCCGTGTCACACTTGACCACACCCAAATCGAAGAACTGTTCGGGGGACTTTTGTATTCCGCTTTCTTCCTCCAATTCCTTTACAGCATTGCCAAGCATATCTTCATCTGCTGAAACGACACCTCCGAAGCCAATGGAGTAGTATGAAGGGCAGTAGTCTTTTATCTTTGACCTTTTGTGTACATAAATAAAATACTCTTGATCGATTTTGGTAAACACAAAAACGGATGTAGCTCTGTGCCACAAGTTTTGCGTCCTCATAATTTTTCTCGCTTTCAATCCTTGGAACTCATTATTTTCATTTACAATGATCACGCGCTCGTCCTTATTGTCCTCGAAATTGGAGTTAATGATATCCTTCATGTTAGGGTCACTTTCTGTTGTCATGGTAGCTGTGGAAAAATTGCTAGTAGGGTCCTTGGATTTCTGGCAGCAGCATGGGGTTGTGTACAGTCGCGAAAGTGTACACAGGAATAGGAAGGCAAGAGGGACGAAGAACGACAGGATGTGCATAATTGGAGAGAGTTGGAAGGCACTACACGGTGGAGGGATTCAATTACGTAAAGGAGTGAAATTCGCTGCGGCTGGTAGATGCAACTTTACAGAGGAAGAGTTTTGTAAAAATGCACAGGAGGTGAGGTGGGGGGCGGGGAAGCTTCCACACCGGGGGGTCCTCTTCCAGTAACAATTTGGCAAGTAGTAATTCCTCACCAACTGGGCTTGCACAATTTTTTACATAAAAAAAAATATACCTTCAGTTGTTAGAAGAAACGCCGGCGGGACGGCGGGTACATAATAAAAAAGGGAGTTACAATACTTATGCGTATTGGTTTTTATTACAATGGTTGGTTGTGCGGGCACAATTATAGTTGGAAGTTTGTAACATGGACAGAATAATAGGATAAATCAAAGCGAAGGAAAAAAAAAATATTCCCTTGCGAGGTTTTCATCCGATTGACTTTCTTAAGTGGCAATATATTTTTTTTAAGAAATTATTTTTCGACGTCAACTGCGACAACGCGTGCAGCGTTATATATATCGTGGCAACAAATGAAGAAGAGCGTGCCTATAATATAATATGCCTTTTTTCGCCGGTAACAAATTGTTAGCAATGGTAATGCAGCGGAATGTGCTCAAAAAATGCGTTGCATTATTCCTGTTGTCGCCTAATGTGGCCTTTTATTTTTTTAATCGTGGGGTCATGCTCGCGCCAGTTAGATTTGCGCTACCTCCTTTGCAGCACCGCTTCTGCGGACCAGTTTTCGCGGGCAAAATTGGGGGGCAAATTTGTACAGTTAAACTACACGCGGTTGGGGCGCATGTTTGCATATTCGCAGTCAGCGCGAAAAAGTAAAGAAATGCAGAAATTGAGGAGTGAAAAAATGAAAACATGAAAAAATAAATCAATGAAGCAGCGGTGCGATGTAGCAACGCAGTGATGTAGCGATGCGGCGATGTATCGATGTAGCGATGCGGCGATGTATCGATGTAGCGAGAAATAAAAGGTGGGCAAAGAACAAAGCCATACAATGGAGTGAAGCTTTACTTCAAATGAAAATAAAAATAAATGGAATGAAATTCTGGTGCGCGGGCAGATTGAGGTTGTGCGTGACCTAACGAGCGGGTGTCCCCCCTCCATCCCGTATTAGCGCCTTCGACGTCAGCGCCATTCCAGTGCCACGTCTCTACCGCCGCTTCTTTTCACTTTTTCATTTTTCACTTTTTTGCTCTACTTGTTGCCGTGGTCAGGTTGGTCCCCCTTGGGAGCATTTTCCGAGGCGTCGGAGGCCTTGTTTTTAGTGCCGGCCAAATTTTTAGGGTTTACCTTAGAACTGATGATAGACATGTTCTTGGATTTGCCATCAGGGATTTTAATCAAATGAAGGTGGTTGTTCTCTACCTTGTCGACAATGAAGTACCCCCTTCTTTCAAACTGAAATCTGTTCGACACCTTGAGGGAGGTAATGGCTGGTTCTGCGTACACCACCGTCTCGTACTTGCTATTGGAATTGATAAATTTAGTCCAGTCTTCTTTATTATCATTTTCAAATTTATCGACCGTAATTAAGTGGTCATATTCGTAAAGTGTACATGTGATTAATTGTTCGGGTATGTATGGTACCCAGTGTATTTTTTTTTTTGTAGTTTTGAAGTCTCCATCGAAATTGGAGGTACCAATAACTTCCTTAATGGTTGGTGTGTTTGTTCCATCAGCAGAATGCTCATCCCCTTTAACAATACTTGTGATAATCACATTTCCTAGTTTGATTAGAGTAATTTCTTCTTGCTCTGCCAAGGTTTGCGCATCTTCCAATTCGATAAAGAAACGGTTGGTATAAAACATGGAGCATGTGCCAAGGGATTTATTTTTCATGTGTAGATCTCTAGTTTTTTCAACAATGTCTTCGTTCAAGTCGGTTAATTTAAGTATGACTCCTTTTTTCTTATCTACTGCTGCGAATCTGGGTATGATTGGGTCGATTAGTTGTTTGTTGATGGACCACAATTTATCCCATTGCATGAGATTTCCTGATTTGGAAGGTCCTTGTTCTAGGATGAATTGGAACAAGGCTTCTTTTGTTAATCCTCTTCTGAGTATTCCCTTGATAGTGGGCATACGTGGATCTAGCCATCCATCGACGATTTTATTTTCAACAAACCATTTTAACTTCCTCTTGGACATGACCGTTTTTACAAATGAGATTCGACTGAATTCGTATATGTAGACTTTTCTTAATTGAAAGGTTGTGATAAACCAATTGTACTGTTCTATTCTGTCACTGTATTCATTTGTCCTCAATGCATGTGTTACTCCTTCAAGTGAATCTATTATTGGGCATGCAAAATCGTAGGTAGGATAGCACTTAAACTTGAACCCATGTCTATGGTGAGGTGTATCTACTATGCACCTGTACAGGACGGGATCTCTCATGCATTTGTTCTTACTCTGCATATCTATTTTTGCACGTATACAATTTTTCTGTCCTATTTCACTTCCCTTACGCATTTCTTCAAATAATTGTAGATTTTGCTCCACAGAATTTTGTCTATTAACCGATTCAATTCCTTCCCCTCTTTGGTTCCTCATTTCCTCTACATTGGTATCATCCGCATATGCCTTTTCCATTTTTATTAATTTAATGCAATAATCTTCTAGGGTTTCAAAATAGTCCGACGTGTAGCTAATTTTTTCATACTTTAATCCTAAATTCTCTAGATCCTCCATGATGGATGTCTCAAACTTTATATCTTCCAAGGCTGGATTCGTATCATCAAATCGCAGTAGCATTTTACCCTCATACATATTTGCATAGTAACTATTCAAAAAGGCTGCTTTAGCATGTCCGATGTGTAGGTATCCTGACGGTTCTGGGGGAAACCTCGTGACAACATTTCCCTTTTCTGCGTTCTGCAATTTTCCACCATAGGAAGTGGAAACGATTTTCTGTTTTAACATTTGATTTGTGTTTGCATCTTTGGTAATATCTACTTGGATTATTTCAATTTCCTTTTTCAGCATGGTTGTTAATTGTGCATCTGGGTAATTTACTAAGCAGTTGATTAATTTGAACCACCTATTGACATTCCTAAACTGCTTGGAGTATTTGACATTGTAACAATTGGCCACATTAAAATATTTGTACATTTCGTAGTACACGTACAAATCAGACAGGGTTAAATAGTCTACACATATGAATGTATTCAAATGAAGGTGTTTATTTAGGTGATCACAAATGATTTGTATTTCCTTTTGAACTTGTTTATTCCTGAAGTAGTCTACCCATTCGTCGTATTGTGCTTGTACATACACGTCCGTTTGCTTGTCTTCCTTTTTGTTATTCTCACAGAATGAGTGATACAATTTCGTTTGCAATATGAGGTCTAGATTCTTTGCGAATATTTTGTCTGTAGTATTTATGCACTTGTTTCCTTCTTTCTCTTTTTCCTTACTTACAAACTCTACCTTTATTTCTTCTACATTTTCGTCTTTCACAAATTTGACCTTGTCGTCCGCTGAGTGGTCACTTCCTGCTGTGTTCTCTTTTTGGCTGAGCTTCTTGTGTACGTTCAGTATTGTTCTACATACGAAGGGGTACTTCTTTCCGTAGTAGATGTTGATTTGGTCACTTTGCATCATTTCTTCCTGTTGGTGTTAGTTCATGCAGGGGTAGCCTCCCGGTTTTTTTTACAGGCCAGAAGGGCAGTGGCGGCTCTTGCACCTAACGGGGAGCTACGCATTTATCGCGCTGTGCGGGAGTGGCGTACCGCTGCTGTGTTGATGGCAGAGTTGCGCTCTCTTCCTTTTACTTTGACTTTTTATGAAGATGCGCCAGAAATGTGGATCCCTAGACAGTCATCACCGTTGTGTGCGGCGGATTTCTTCGAAGGATTTTTTTTATTTTAATGTAACTTGTGTGGGGCAAATTTGCACGCACGGGGAGGTGAATGCATATACTGCTGTTCACAACGTATAGGGGGTACGTGCGTGATGTAGATACGCGTACAACGTTTCTGCGAATACTCGGGTGGTACTTTGTGGGTATATGTTTTTACTTGTGGATCGTTTCCACTTTCAGGATGGCTGAGTTCGGGAACCTCGTGACGTTCGAAGAGGTCACTTCCGCAGTTGAGCTCTACCGGGCGAGGTCACGTTGACGATTTTGCGGACGCCCCGGTGATTTGCAATGACGCAGTATAATCCTAGCGGGGGTAGCCACACTTTCCTGTCATACTACCATTTCCCTCTCCAGGCTGTTGCTCTCCTGCCGTTTTTTGTTTGTTATTTTTTTTCAAGGGTATCGCGGGAAAAAAATAAGGAAACGAAGCGATGGCTCATGAGAACGTTTGCGAAATTTCCGTTATGCTATGAACACGTCATTCATAAACCATCTTGTGTATTTATCATGTAAAAAAAAAAAAATACTTGCAGCGACGACGGTTGCTTTTGCTTATTTCGCGGTGGCCGCAATTTTTTTTTTTTTTTTTTTTTTTGTGCCGCTTTTTTTATATTGAAAATGTCGCGTGTTGTGGAAGCTCACCTGGAGGCTCTCATTTTTTCATTTGTTACGACTGCAGGAGAATCTTCACAACGTGCATATGAGTATGAAGAAGAAAAAAAAAAACGTGCACACGTAGAATCGTCCCAATGAGCACAAATAAATATATACATGTACATACGCGTGCATTAGCGAATGATTATAAAATGGTAAAAACAAATTATGATTCATTTATCATTGCATCCCGTTCGGTTTATACTATGTTTATGCGCGTGGTGATAACCACGGAGCAATTTTTATTTAAAAAAAAAAAAAACCAGCAATCTTCCCCCACGAATAAAGGAAACGCACCTGTATATTTGCAGCCTTTCTAAACATGTTGCTAAGTGCGACACAGGCACTTTTTAAAGGGCAGTTTCCCCATTTCCTTGTTTTTTCCACAGTTTAATGTAGAAGCGCATTGTATGCACTCGCACTGGAACACGTACGTAAAGAAAATGAAGGACATGAGGATACCCGCATAAAATTGTGCGCTGCTAAAAAGGGAATGATCAATGTTTTGAACAGAAAAAAATGTGGCGCAGCCGTCTACCTATATTTTATTCTCAAAGCGCAGATAGCCATTTTTCTAGCCAATGCCTAACACCGCTGCGTTTATGCCTAAATACACAAAAAAAAAAAAAAAAAAGAAAGAAAAAAAAAAGCAGTGTTTTCTTAAAAAAGGATTAAATAAATTAACCTGTATTAATTTTCTTTTTTTTTTTTTTTTTTGCGTAATTGCTCGCTGGCCGAATAGTTGTTCATTTTTGTTTGTCTTTGCAAACTTTTGCAAAAAAAAAAAAAAAAAATTCTGCGTTCAGGTGAAAAGCAGCACATTCCCCGCATGATTGGTGTAAGCACAATTTGGCCTTGTTCCGTTCAGGTTTTTTTTTTTTTCAATTTTTCATCATTGCAACAAAGTGTCCGGTCTTTCCGCCAAAGCACAGGTGTATATATGTTCAGCTATGTACAGGCACTAACGCCTGCGTAGCGATGTATCCTATGTTCCTATGTCGGAGCTCCAAAGAAAAGAAAATGAATACAACCCATTTTGCATTACCCTTTTAAAAAAAAAAAAGAAAAAAAATTGACCCACCAGTCATAGGAAAAGCTGCACGTCACACAAAAGGTGTTTACATTTTGTGGGACGAGAGAGAACGTGCACATTTGATGATTGCCAAATAAGGCACATTGATCCTCTATCCTTCCAAGGAGAGTAACAAAATAGGGTTATCTCCTTGTGTGGGAATACAAAGGGACAGAATATATGTGCATGCGGTATGGGCATATTTATAGGGGCATGTAGAAATGCCTATATATCAGCCAAGTGTGCCCCCCAAGAATTTAAGTCTACGGGTGTATTATAGAGTGTGTGTAGTGGGACACCTGGCAGAGAGAAAATTAAAAAAAAGGAAAAGAGAGAGAGGCGAACGTAAAGTGCGTATTATGCACACGCACGTGCATACACACGTACACGTACGTGTACACGTACATATATCCACTCAGGCGCGTGTACGGGCGGACGCACGAGGAATGCATTGACAAAATTACTTTCCTCGTTGGGCACATGGCCATTTATAATGCGAGATGGTGTGGTTCACTCCGCAGGAATGGTTAAGAAAAAAAAAAGAAAGAGATAAAACGATGTTTGCTTTTCAGCCCATATAACATGGTCCCCCCCCTTCCCCGTGCCTGGTTACTTTCCATTTGCACGTATCTTTCCCGTAATATATGGGCAGAAAATTATTTCGCTCATTTTCAAGTTTGCCAAAAAAAAATACAGGAGCGCGCAGGGCAGGACGCGGGTGGACAATTGAGAAAAGAAAAAAAGGGGAAAATTCAAAGTCACAAAATGAACACATAGCAAGGTGGTGACCGTGGGGGGATTCCAAATAGATACGCGAAGGAAATAACTCGACTATTCAAAAACATTTTGGGGAATGCAAAAAAAAAAAAAAAAAACAAAAAAATGTGATGATCGAAAACGCATTTTTCCAAGTGATAATATAGTACGGTGTACTCTTTTTTTTTTTTTTTTTTTTTGTTACAAAAAATTTCCAACATTTATCCGCGTTTTTTGAGCAGTTTTTACTGTTTCGGGACAAGAAGAATTGAACCATTGTCCTTTTCTATTTGGATCATATATTTGGATACTCTTTTTTTATATTTTTTTATATTTTTTTATATTTTTTATTTTTTATTGTGCATGCCATCATTTTGTTATGTAAGCTGTGATGTGCCGCAGGCATCGCACAAACATACACAATGTTTTTGCTTCACCTCGTTCATTTATTACACACCCTTTGTTTGCTTTAAATATTATCATGGGCAGGGGGTGGGAATAAAACGAAGTGTTTGCATATGCAGTACCCATTTGTTTGTGAACATTGGAAGAAGAATTTTTTTTTTTGTTTTTCTTTTTCATCGTGTTGGTGGAAAGGGCAGAGCAGACTGTGGCACGCATCTGTAGAGGGACAAGTATCCACGTAACTGTACTCAGCAAAAAGAAGTAATAAGCAGTAATTAGGAGTAGCAGGGAACGACACGTAGGAACGCGCTTAACTGCCGGTGGAGGCTAACGAACACGAGCCCGTGCACTCCCCCCTCCCCCTCCCTTGTGTGGAAGCAATGAATGAGCTCTACCCGGGGGTGTCGAGGAAACTGTTTTGGAACTCTGATAAATTATTTTACGATAATATAAGGAACCTAGATGAAAGACTAAACGTGAATGATAATTTTAATGAAAATAAATATGAACAGCTGTATCGTGAAAAGTACGCCAGGAATAAAAGGAGGTTTAAAACAGAGCCACCTAAAAATATTTGTGAGGAAGGAAATTCTAAATTTTACCCGTCTTTTTTTAACAGTATATTTAAAAGCTTATCAAGGAATGTGGTATCGAGTGAGGAAGATAAACAAGGGGAGGAAGACGCGAAGGACAAAAAAAAGACTTCTTCGCGACATTCAAACCATTCGGGGGATGTTACTCTTCCCGATTTGGACAAAGGCGACAGTCCACGTGTTAGCCCACAGAGTACAAACAACGTCGCGCATGTGAAGAGTGATGTGGATGAAAGTTTTTTGGTTAAGAATACTGGTGAGGGTAAACCAGGGGAGCCCGCTGGAGGGGGGCGAAGAAGGTATACTTATGGAAGCAAGAGAGGGGTGGCTAGCTCGGAGGAGGAGGAAGAGGAGGAGTTGCAAACGGAAGGAGAATCCGGAGAGGTGAAAAGGGCAGAAGCGAGCAGTAGCCCATATCGAAGTGGTGAATGGCGAAGCGGTGAATATCGCACTGGGGGTGTGCCCAGGGAAGGTGTCAAGCGGATGGAGCAAAACCGGGGCGCGCAGAAAACGGCCAGCAGCGCGAGACTTGTAAACAGTGATGTCATTTCAGACGTCTTCCTAAAGAAGAATGTAAAGAGCCTAGTGGTTCATGACACGGGCGGTATAGACATAGAACTTATTGAAAATGAAAACCCAGAGTTTCTATACCATACTTACACCGGGAACAGAATATCAAATATGTATTATGCGTATGACGATTCTATAAAGAGTAAGGAATATTGTGATGATAAGAAGATAAATAGGTTTAATTCAACTTTTTCTCGAAGGGAAAATGGAACTATGAGGGAGTCTACATCGAGAGAAGGTTGTTTTGTGAGGGAATTGATCACCACAGGTGAGGTTAGCCCAAGAGCGTCTTCAGTGAAGGAATCATCTGCGTACAATGGCAGAAGAGAAAACAAACAAAACACATCACATAATAAATCGGAGTTGTCTACGGACAGCAATAACAGTAAGCGCTGTGATGAGCAGAGCTATACTAAGAAAAGTGAGATGGAAGAAAAGGTCTCCAGTTGGTCCAATGAGGTGTATCATTATGACAGTTGCAACACGTATGAAGGAAACAGAAACAAAGGCACTTCCAACTGGTCTGGGGAGCGCAATAAAGTGTTCGCCTCCTACTCTTCTGTGTCTAGTATATCTGTAAATACGTTAGAGAAGGACAAGGGTAAGAAGTACCACTATATTGGGGAAACTATGAATAACGTTCGAAATGGATGGGGCATGTTAATTTATAATGACCGAGTCATATTTGAAGGGGAATACAAAATGAATAATGCCATTGGGTATTTTATTAAGTATAATGAATATTCCACAGAGATTGGATTCAGGAGTCCTCTGAGTATTAAGTCCGTTGTCATCATGAGTGATAGCGATAATTTCATTATACAAAACAAATGTGAGAATCTTGAATCTGTGAAGAGTGACGAAATGGGAGCTAGCCAAAATGGTACTCCAAAATTGGAAGGTAATGACAGCCTGGAGGTAGCAATTAAGGGAAAGGAGGGGGGATTATTGAATTGTGAAGGGAATGTAGGAGCATTTTGTGAGACTAGAAGCTATATGGAGAAGTCAGAAATAAATTTGTCTTGTCCACAAAAATTTCCAACGATCAGTAATTACATGCGTTTATCTGATTATAGAAGAACCCCTGGGGTTTTTACGACACCTAACAGTAATAAATTGTACAAGGAAAATGTACTCATGAATAATCTCCTGAACAGTATAAAGGATACTGAGTGCTCTACAAAGAAAAAGGAGGAAGTAGGAGGGAAGGCCAAAAATTTAACTGTGGTGTCTAGCTACATTAGAAGGAATAGTAAACATAGGACAACCCCTGCGCGATCTATCAATTATCTGAAGCCACCCATGATGCACTTGATAAAAAATAATATTATTTTAAATAAGAATTCGTTTTTGAAGAACGATAAATCGGCATCGTCCAGGAAGAGGAAGGAACAAAAAACCACCATGCATTGCTCCACCCCAATGAGCATCATCGTGACGTCGTTCGATACGGACGATGAGTCGGGCTCGTCTGAAAATGACGCACATGGGGGGAATGATACACCTGGGAAGAATGAAGAGAAGGAAACCTGCTCAGCGGAAAACGGAACTACACTGAGCGGCGCTCAGCCAGTCACTGTCTTATCGGAGCGCGATGCGGCACTGGAGCACGGGAAGCAGTTTGGCAGAGGCGACTTGAAAAAAAATGGACTCACACTTTTGAACCTAGAGAACAACAATCATGTTAAGGGAATACATTTGGGTAATGAAGACGACGAGACGAATCATTTCTCAAACAATGACGAGAAGGCGGAGGGGGGATATGCTGTACATTCGGGAGTGGTCAGTACAGATTATCAGGAGGAAAACGTGGAGGGATTTTTCAAGGGAAAGAAAAGGCGTACGAAGAATCGAGCCTCTTTTACTAACGCAGAGGGGAGCGTAGCGGGGAGCGCAGCGATTGAAGGAAGCGTGGGCGTTTACACGGAGGATACGAATAAGGGCACGGTCGGGAAGACGTACAAACATGTGGACAGAGCTGACGTGGCTATGAGGGGGGAGGAGGAAGCCGAGCGGCGTGCACACTTCGGGATGGAAGCGTCGGACGAGGCGGAAACGGAGGAGCACGCTGAAGGAGAGGGGAACGGCCAGAACAAGCTGAACATTGTTATCACCGACCAGTACAGAAATTTATTATGCGATAATATTAACAACGACAATTTTGTGATAAAGAATAACGAGATTAAGACGTTTGAGGAGTTCATGGAGAGCCAGGGAGAGTATAAAGCGGGTGGGAGGGATGAGTGGCGAGAGGCTATGCGTGATCCAAGCGCGGGAGCAGACTACCAAGGTGGAGGTGATGGGTCCAGTTTGAAAACTACGATTAGGGGAGACCTCTCCGCCAAATGTAAAACAGAGCAAAATGAACAGGATGAGAAAAAGGAAAAGTTGCATTTTGGCCACCCCGATAAGGCATACATAAGAAGGCGTCTGCGAGGAGCGACCTTCCCAGAAACGCATGACGATAGACAGAAGAATTGTTTCCTCTTCATAGACGATTATTTAACTTCCAACGATGACAAATTTAATTTAATAAACGAAGATGTGAAATTGAGAGCATCAGATTATAATAAGTGGTCTGTAAATATGCTATACAATTTTTTAAAAATGATAGGACTAAAAAAGGAAGCTTATCTGTTCAAGATCCACAAGATAAGAGGGTACCACATTTTGAAGTTGACAGACAAGGAGTTAAAAAGATTGAACATAAATAATTCTTATGTTCGAAAATTTGTCTTGTCTGTTTTTCGTTTTTTAGTTAATTCTATGGACAGTGCGGATCCTTTATCTTTAAATTTTAACACGAATAGAAAATTTTCATTTAATAAAATACGCACGATATGCAATAGTGACATTATTATACTTAACAAAGTTGGTGGTGGGAGTTACGCACAGGTGTTCAGGGCTAAGTATAAGGGAAAGTACGTTGCGTGTAAATTGTTTTTGTATAATCCAAAGGACATGAGTGAAGAGAGCTATTGCGAGAGTTACATATCAACCCCTAGATCGAGTCACCAATATATTTTCCCTAAAATAGCCCCCAACTTAACCGTGTTCGATGAGAATCACTTTGGTGATAAGGGAATATTACCGTCATACTCGGGGCAAAGTGATACGGCAGAGGGGGCAAATCAGTGTGGTGGTAGCAACATGGCAGGTATGCAGTCTGCGCAACGGGCGAGATGTGATAGTGGAGGAGGATCAACAGAAGGGGAAGAGTTACACAAAGACGATTCTCTTTATGCCCTCTCTGGGAAGAAGAAAGGAAATGAAGGAGAAGGGAAAAATGTTAATAGCACCTCTTACACACTACAGAGAAATAAGAAAATAAAAAAAATGGCCAACTTGGAAATTTTCAGATATTTCCCAACCCCAGTGAAGTACCGGAATTACGAGGCGAAAATTTTGTACTCTTTACAAGGGTGTAATCATGTGATAAAATTGCTTGGAGTTTGTAGTTTACGGGAGGGGGAAGAATCTCTCATCTTAGAGTATTGTGCAGGGGGAAGCCTCGAGAAATACATTTACATGGACGAGAAGAAGAAGAACGGCGCATATAAGCGTCATTTGTCGAGACCTAAAATAGTAAAAATATTTCAGCAAGTGGCAGAAGGAATGCACAATGTACACTCCAAACATTTTTTCCACAGGGATTTAAAACTTTCAAATATTCTGCTGGATGCTAATCAGGATGCAGTCATTTCCGACTTTGGATTGTCGACTCATTTTTCTTTAAATGATAGCCCCACTGCTTATGCCATGTATGGGAATGTATTTTATGCGGCCCCCGAGGTTTTAAAAGGGGAGGGTTTTTTTAAAGAATCTGATGTGTGGTCCTTTGGAGTTAGTTTATGGGAAGCCTTGACAAGAAAAATTGCTTACGATGGGATGTCTGCTTCAGAGAGTTTTTGTAAAATTTCAGCTGGGGAGTTGGTCCTTCCCATTCCTAGGGACCTTCCCTTGGAGTTGTCTGAGTTGCTGAGGAGCATGCTGGAGTACGACTTCACCAAGCGGCCCCTGTTCGACGTCATAGCGAGACGGCTGGAGCGCATTCGGCTGGATGCCCACGAGAAGCTGCACGTGGACATCCAATCCTTCTTTTATGGGTAGCGGGGGGTGTAGCGGCGAAGTAGAAGCGGTAGCGTGGCAACGCTTCTTACCGCGTGCTCCCACACCCCGTCACTGAAGCGCTTCACATGGGCGCACTAATTAAAACACCCAATGCGCGTGTCTTCACAGACGCGCCTCCTTTTTCTTCCTTTTTCCGTTTCCTCCCTTTTTTGTGCCCCCTATTCGTTGTGTTTCCCTTTTTTATGTCCATTTGTAACAGTGCCCCCACTCCCCGAGCTGGAAGTATACGAGGGCGTACATTTTGTTTGTTCCTAAAAATTGGGAGCCTAATTTTTTTTTGGCCCCAAGAGGAAAAAAAAATGCAGCATTTTTATTTGCTTAAACTTCATTTGTTACAACTAAATTAGCACATTAATTTTTTTTTTTTTTTTTTTTCCCCTCTCCATGTGAGCAAGTTGTCAACCTGTGTGCAGCATGAATATGTAATGATATGAGAGTCTGCTGATCGGTGAGCGTTCCGATAGTCCAACCGGTCAGTCCGTGTCTCCGTCCCATGGTCATTATGGCACACAGCTGCGACGTTATTATTTCTGTATTAGCCTCCAAACGTCGTCGTTTACTGCGTTTGTTTTGCCCTCTTCGGTGCACAACCTTAGGTGTAAAAAAAAAAAAGAAAAGGGAGCCATTTTCCCCCCACTGAGTGGAGCATGCTCGGTTGCATCTGCCTAATGACACACATGATGGGTCACCTTTTCGCGCATCTCCATTAAAATGTACTTCAATGACGAAAGCGCAATTGCAGATGAGAATGGATTTATTAAGCGGTGTATACTTCGACTGATCCCATTTTTTTTTTTTTTTATAAGCGCTCGGGTAGGTTTACCTCCCCGTTGACGCCTCGGAGGGGGAAAGATGCTAACCTGATGAGCTGCTATCTCGGCTCTGCACGTGGAACAAGATGGTTGTGCTTAAGGAAGAGGATGCCATTCACTTTTTAAATATCGCATTGGAGGAGGTAAGTCACGTCAAAGCGGGGGGAGGAGAGAGCATTCTGGGCGCGATGTTTACGCGTGCTTGGAATGTGTTAGTGATGCATTCTCGATGCGTCCAGAGTACCACCACGCAGACACGTAGACGTTTTTTTTTTCCCCCCCCGTTTGTGCTGCTTCCCAAGGCGGAAAAGAGCCTGCACGTGGAGCTGAAGGAAATGCCCATATTCTGTCTTCTGATAAACGAAAAAAAAGAAATTGTGTCGAGCTCCTACAACCACACAAACGAATCGAAGAATGGAAGCAGACACTGTGAGCTCATAACCATAGACAAGTACCTTTATGGGGAGGATTACGAGGGTATGAAGAATAGGAACATAATTAAATGCTTTAACAATTGTGAAAACGGAGTGGAGAAATCTCTCGCCAAATATTTTTCCCATTTGGATTTGTGCAAGAGGGATAATTTAGCTAACCCTTCTTCTGGGGTAGAAGACGATTTGCTGCTTAGAGAACGACCCGCAGGAACTAGGACTGACCAATTAAGTGAAGAGAAAAAAAACGAAATAAAACACAAGATGGAGAACCTTCGAAAATGCTGCATCGTGGTGACTTGTGAGCCGTGCATCATGTGTGTCTATGCGTTGAAGCTTATGGGTAATGCGGAAGGGAGATTGAGGCAGGCGCATCATTTTTTTTGTGCACTCATTTAGGGGGTAGGCGTACTGTTTAGACATGGCGTTTCTTTTTCAAGTCGTCTCTCCCACGTAGCGTTGCCCCTCCCTCTACACGTTTTATCACTTGGCTTATCCTCACCGTTTTCTTTTCTTTCCCTTTGTTCATATGCGAACATGCCAGGCATAAAGAACATTTACTTTTGTTGCCTCAACGAGCGCTTCGGAGGATGCGGTTCAGTCCTGTCCTTGCACAAAACGTAACAAAAAAGAAAAAAGCGAGGGAAAGGCGAGAACGATAAAGGCAGCTGCAGATCATGGAATGTTTGTTGCCTAACTGTAACTACCCTCCTTTTTTATGGCGCTCACTTTTGCAGGTACCAAGACTTAAATGTGAATTATATAAAGAGCGGAGGCTGCACGGAGAGGAGCATTTCCCTTATGCAGTCCTTTTACAAGGCTGGAAACCCCTCAGGTATTTTTCACATTTCATTTTTTGTTTACATTCGCTTTTGAACGTATTTATATCTGCAGTATGAGTGATGAATAAAGAGGTGTATGTGGCCCCATCGCATTGGTGGCTTCTCTCCTCTGTGTGGAGTGGTAATTTCGAAAGTGTGCCCCATACTGTGCATGTTTCTTTTTTTTTTGTTAACTTCGGGCAGCTCCCGAAGATAAAAGAAAAAGGGCGATCACGTGATGTGTCTTACGCTGGTTAAAAGTTGGCGAGCCATTGTTCCTTCCTTGCATCCCACTTACAGGCATGCATTTTTTTTTTTTTTTTTTTTTTTTTTCCAATGAGCCCAATTCTACCACATCGTTATGTGTGTACAT